CACTTGACAGAGAGCGAGAGAGAGCAAGCGCGTGACAGAGAGCGAGAAAGAGAGGGCGACAGAGAGAGAATGAGTGTGTGACAGAGAGAGTGAGAGCGTGTGACAGAGAGAGGGAGAGAGACAGAGGTCAAGACAGAGAGGGAGAGAGAGCGCACAACAGGGAGCGTGAAAGAGAAATGATGAGACAGAGATAGAAAGTGAGAGAGAGAGAGCGTGACAGAGAGAGTGGGAGAGGGAGAGAGCACGACAGAGAGACTGAGACAGAGCACGCGACAGAGCAAATGAGAGAGAGAGAGTGTGACAGAGAGAGTGCGAGAGAGAGAGCGCACAACAGAGAGTCTGAGAGAGAGAGGGCGAGACAGAGATAGAGAGAGAGAGAGACGGAGAGCGAGAGCACGTGACAGAGAGCAAGAGCGTGCACGGCAGAAAGAGAGAGAGAGCAACAGCACATGACAGAGAGAGTATGCGATAGAGAGACAGAGTACAAGCGCGCAACAGAGAGAGAGACAGAGCACATGAGAGGGAGAGAGAGCACACGAAATATAGACCGAGCATGCGAGAGAGTGGAGACAGAAATAGAAAGAGAGAGAGAGCAAGAGTACATGACAAAGAGAGAGAGCAGGAGATAGAGAGAGAGAGAGCAAGAGCGCGTAGCAGAGAGACAGAGAGAGATCGTGCAACAGGAAGAGAGAGCGAGAGCAAGCGTGCAATAGAGAGAGAGAACACCTGACAGAGAGCGCACGACAGAGAGAAAAAGAGAGTGAAAGACAGCATGACAGAGAGAGCGAGAGAGAGTGTGCGACAGAAAGAGAGAGAGCGAGAGCGCGACAGAGTGAGAGAGAGAGTGTGAGAGAGGGAGCATGCGACAGAGAGAGTGAGAGAGAGAGCACGCAACAGAGAACGTGCGAGAGAGAGAGAGCATGCGCGACAGAGAGAGTGAGAGAGACAGAGTGCGACAGAGAGAGTGAGCATGACAGAAAGAGTGAGAGAGAGTGGAGACAGAGAGACTGAGACAGAGAGAGCGTGACAGAGATGGTGAGACAGACAGTGAACATCAGAGAGAGTGAGAGAGAGAGGGAGAGACACAGATAGAGAGAGAGAGAGGGAGACAGAGAGCGAGAGCATGTGACAGAGAGAAAGAGCGTGCCAACAGAAAGAGAGGGAGACCGAGAGCTAGTGACAGAAAGAGAGAGAGAGAGAGTTTGCGCAACAGAGAGAGGGAGAGTGAGCGCATGACAGCGAGAGAGAGTGAACGAGTGACAGAGAGCTGGAGTGGGCGTGCGACAGGGAGTGACAGCAAGAGAGAGCATACTACAGAGAGATGGAGTGAGAGTGAGTGCACGACAGAGACAGGGAGAGCGTGCGACAGAGATGGAGAGTGAGAGAGAATGCGCGACAGAGGCAGCGAGAGAGAGCACACGACAGAGAGAGAGACAGTGCATGACAGAGAGAGAGCATACAGAGAGATTGAGAGAGAGCATGCGTGACAGAGAGACTGAGTGAGACAGAGCGCAACAGAGAGAGAGCGTGACAGAGAGAGTGAGAGAGAGAGCACATGACAGAGAGAGGGAGCGTGACAGGGAGAGTGAGAGAGAGCAGGCAACAGAAAGAGAGAGCGCATGACAGAGAGAGAGAACGAACGAGAGAGAGAGAGAACATGACAGAGAGATTGAGAGAGAGAGAGCACGTGCGACAGAGAAAGTGAGAGAGACAGAGCGCGACAGAGAGGGACAGCATGGCAGAGAGAGTGAGAGAGAGAGAGCGCAGGCAACAGAGAGAGAGAGCGCGTGACAAACAAAGAGAGAGTTAATGACAGAGAGAGAGAACGCGACAGAGAGAGTAAGAGAGAGAGCGTGTACGACAGAGAGAGAGCATGACATAGAGAGTGAGAGAGAGAGGGAGGCAGAGTGAGAAAAAGAGAGAGAGCAAGAGTGCACGACAGAGAGAGAGAGAGCAAGACAGAAAGAGAGAGAGAGATCATGCAACAGAGAGAGAGAGCATGTGACAGGCAGTGGGCGAGAGAGAGAGCACACGACAGAGAGCGCACGACAGAGAGAGTGAGAGAGAGCACGATAGAGTGCGACATAGAGAGAGTATGACAGAGAGAGAGCGCGAGAGAGACCGTGCAACAGAACGATACAGAGCAGGAGAGAGTGCGCAACAGAGTGAGAGAGGGAGCGCAAGATAAAGAGACTGAGAGCGAGAGAGTGGAGACATAGATAGAAAGAGAGAGAGAGCAAGAGTGCATGACAAAGAGAGAGAGAGCAAGAGCGCGTAGCAGAGAAACAGAGAGAGATCGTGCAACAGGAAGAGAGAGCGAGAGCGAGCATGCAAGAGAGAGAGAGAGCACCTGACAGAGAGCGCACGACAGAAAAAGAGAGTGAGACAGCACACGACAGAGAGAGAAAGAGAGTGAAAGACAGCATGACAGAGACAGCGAGACAGAGTGTGCGACAGAAAGAGAGAGAGCGAGAGTGAGTGTGTGACAGAGTGAGAGAGAGTGTGAAAGAGGGAGCATGCGACAGAGAGAGTGATAGAGAGAGCACGCAACAGAGAATGTGCGAGAGTGAGAGAGACAGAGTGCGACAGAAAGAGAGAGCAAGAGTGCATGACAAAGAGAGAGAGCAGGAGATAGAGAGAGAGAGAGCAAGAGCACGTAGCAGAGAGACAGAGAGAAATCGTGCAACAGAGAGAACAAGATCGAGCGTGCGAGAGAGAGAGCACGTGATAGACAGCGCATGACAGAGAGAGAAAGAGAGTGAGAGAGGACACGACAGAGAGAGAACGAGAGAGAGTATGCGACAGAAAGAGAGAGAGCGAGAGAGAATGCGCGACAGAGTGAGAGAGAGATTGTGAGAGGGAGTGCATGACAGAGAGAGTGAGAGAGACAGAGCGCGACAGAGAGAGATAGCATGACAGAGAGAGTGAGAGAGAGAGAGCGCGTGACAGAGAGAGTGAGAGGGGAGACAGAGATAGAAAGAGAGAGAGCGAGAGTGCACGACAGAGAGAAAGAACAGGAGATAGAGACAGAGAGAGCAAGAGGGCGTAGCAGTAAGAGAGAGAGATCATGCAACAGAGAGAGAAAGCGAGAGCAAGCACGCAACAGAGAGAGCACGTGACAGACAGCGAGCGAGAGAGAGCACGTACGACAGAGAGCGCCCTTGACAGAGAGACAGCGCGCGACAAAGAGAGTGACAGAGAGAGATCATGTGGCAGAGAGAGTGAAAGACAGAGAGGGTGAAACAGAGACAATGAGAGAGAGAGAGCGTACGACATAGAGAGTGAGAGAGAGAGCGTACGACAGAGAGATTGAGAGAGAGAGCACGCAAAAGAGAGGGTGAGAGAGCGAGGGCACGTGACAGAGAGAGCAGGCAACAGAGAGAGTGAGAGAGAGAGGGGAGACAGAGATAGATAGAGAGAGAGAGCGAGAGTACGTGACAGAGAGAGCACGAGATAGAAAGAGAGAGAGAGACAGAGCATGAGAGTGCGTGTCACAGAGAGAGAGATAGTGAGAGAGTGTGACAGAAAGAGAGAGAGAGCGCGTGACAGAGAGAATGAGAGAGAGAGCGTACGACAGAGAGAGTAAGAGAGAGAGAGTGTGTACGACAGAGAGAGAGCGTGACAGAGAGAGTGAGAGAGAGAGGGGAGGCAGAGTGAGAAAGAGAGAGAGAGTGAGTGTAAGACAGAGAGAGAGAGAGAACAAGACAGAAAGGGAGAGAGAGATCATGCAACAGAGAGAGAGCGAGAGTGAGCGTGCAACAGAGAGAGAGATAGCACATGACAGGCAGCGAGCGAGAGAGAGAGCATGCGACAGAGCGCACGACAGAGAGAGAAAGAGAGTGAGAGAGAGCACGAAAGAGAGCGACATAGAGAGAGTATGACAGAGAGAGAGCGAGAGAGATCATGCAACAGAATGATAGAGAGCAGGAGAGAGTGCGCAACAGAGTGAGAGAGGGAGTGCGAGATAGAGAGACTGAGAGCGAGAGAGTGGAGACAGAGATAGAAAGAGAGAGCAAGAGTGCATGACAAAGAGAGACAGCAGGAGATAGAAAGAGAGAGAGAGCAAGAGCACATAGCAGAGAGACAGAGAGAGATCATGCAACAGAAAGAGAGAACGAGAGCGAGCGCGCAAGAGAGAGAGAAAGCATGTGACAGAGAGCGCATGACAGAGAGAGAAAGAGAGTGAGAGAGGGCACGACAGAGAGAGAGCGAGAGAGAGTGTGCAACAGAAAGAGAGAGAGCAAGACAGAGTGCGTGACAGAGTGAGAGAGAGAGAGTGAGAGGGAGTGCGTGACAGAGAGAGTGAGAGAGACAGCGCGCGACAGAGAGAGACAGCATGACAGAGAGAGTGAGAGAGAGCGAGAGTGCATGACAGAGAGAGAGAGCAGGAGATAGAGAGAGAGAGAGCAAGAGGGCGTAGCAGTAAGAGAGAGAGATCGTGCAACAGAGAGAGAGAGAGTACGTGACAGACAGCGAGCGAGAGAGAGCACGCACGACAGAGAGAGCGGACGACAGAGAGAGAGCGCGCGACAAAGGGAGTGACAGAGAGAGAGCATGCGGCAGAGAGAGTGAGAGAGAGAGGGTAAGACAGAGAGAATGAGAGAGAGAGAGCGCACTTGACAGAGAGAGAGCGCGTGACAAAGAGAATGACAGAGAGAGATCATGTGGCAGAGAGAGTGAAAGACAGAGAGGGTGAGACAGAGAGAATGAGAGAGAGAGCGTACAACAGAGAGAGTGAGAGAGAGAGAGCATGCGACAGAGAGAGTGAGAGAGAGAGAGCACGTGAAAGAGAGTGAGAGAGAGCACACGTGACAGAGAGAGAGGACGAGACAGGGAGAATGAGAGAGAGAGGAGAGACAGAGAAAGAGAGAGAGTGAGAGAGCGAGAATGCATGGCACAGGGATAGAGATACTGAGAGAGCGTGACAGAAAGAGAGAGAGAGCGAGAGCGAGCGCGCAACAGAGAGAGAGAGCATGCGACAGAGAGCGAGCGAGAGAGAGTGCGCACGACAGACAGCGAGAGAGTGCGCGTGACAGAATGAGAGAGAGAAAGAGGAGACAGAGATAGAGAGAGAGCGAGAGACCGAGAGTATGTGACCAAGAGAGAGAGAGAGAGAGCGTGAGAATGCCTGTCACAGAGAGAGGGATAGTGAGAGAGCGTGACAGAAAGAGAGAGAGACCGTCTGACAGAGAGAGAGCGCGTAACAAAGAGAGTGAGAGAGAGAGGGCGAGACAGAGAGAGTGAGAGAGAGAGAGGGGAGAGAGAGATAGAGAGAGAGAGTACGTAACAGAGAGAGAGCACGAGATAGAAAGAGAGAGAAAGAGCGCATGCGAGTGCATGTCACAGAGAGAGAGATAGTGAGAGAGCATGACAGAAAGAGAGAGAGACCTTGTGACAAAGAGAGAGGGCATGACAGAGAGAGTGTGAGAGAGAGAGCATGCGAAAGAGAGAGT